ATGGTGTCCAGTGTGCAGCCCAGGACAGAGCCAGCTTTCTTAACAAGCTTGTTAAGTTTTTTCCTGTCTCTGTCCGAGCTGCTCCCTGCCCAACACACAACAGCATAGAGAACTACTGAGGCCACTAATGTGTCGTAAAAAGTCCGTAGGAGTTCTCTGCAGACCCCAAAGAACCTCAGTCTCCTCAACAGGTGGAGGCGACTTTGGCCCTTTCTATACAGGGCAACTGTGTTTGTTGACCAGTCCAATTTCTTGTTCAGGTGAACACCCAGGTATTTAAAAGTGTCCACAATCTCAATGTCCGAGCCCTGGATGCTCACAGGAGTATGCACTGAAGTGTTCCTTCTGAAGTCGAGCACCAGCTCCTTTGTCTTACTGGTGTTCAGTAGCAGGTGGTTTTCCTCACACCAGTTCACGAAGTCAGTGATGACCCCCCTGTATTCCTGCTCATTCTCCCTGGACACACAACCTACAATGGCGGTGTCGTCTGAGAACTTCTGCAGGTGACAGTGATGGGAGTTGTACTTAAAATCAGCTGTGTACAGGGAGAGTAGCGTCCCTTGAGGAGCCCCCGTGTTACAGACTACCACCTCTGACACACAGTCACGCAACCTGACGAATTGTGGCCTGTCAGTGAGGTAGTCGAAAATCCAAACAGCCAGATGTTGGTCCACACCTGCCGCCTCCAACTTCCCTCTCAACAGTGATGGAATAGTGTTAAAAGCACTTGAGAAATCAAAAAACATGACCCTCACAGTGTTCCCAGGGGTCTCCAGATGAGACAGGGCCCGATGCAGCAGGTAGATAATGGCATCATCCACTCCGATGCCAGATCGATAGGCAAACTGCAGCGGGTCCAGTGCTGAGCTCACCTGATTGTGGAGGTAGCTAGATAAACAGCTTATAACAGTCTGATCCTGATCACTTCATCCTGTTAAGGAAAAGCTGCACCAGACAGAATCGTGGCAATAAGACACAGGAAACAGGAGAATTAACACTGACAAACCAGGTGAGTCTCTCTCATGGGCTGCAGATCCACACAAAGCACTGCCATGCTGCACACAGACGTGAGAGTATGGAGAGATCATAAGAAGTATGGGCTTTATGACATGTTACCAGCACAATGTATATCATTAAATTAATGACCCTTTACTGACACTTAGTAAATGACAAATTTTTAGTGGAATCATAATTAAGTTTAATTATCACAAACGTTCTAATGTTATATACGGTCTGCAGCTGCCCACTTCCTCTGCCTTACTGATCTAACTGTACTTCTCTGTCTTAAACTAAATATTCTCTAATTAGTATGCATTAGCCTGGCATCCTGATCAGTATCTCAGTTCCACTACTGTGGAATTCTACTATTTATATTTATGATTAGTATCTTGCTGTAGATTGTTCTATGTTTTGAGGCTGTTCACCAATATTTCTTTGATTAAGCATTGTCTTGTTTTCTTATGACCATATAATTGTAGTTTTTGTGGAATTACTGAATAACTGACCAGTTTAAAGAACACATTTTAAAACTTAACATGCATCTAATTTCTTTTTCTGATTTGCACTTTTTAAATCTATACAACAAATTTGTCAGTGTGAAAATGACACTCCAGTCATCCACTATGCCAGCATAGACCACAACAGAGAGACTGAACAGGGAACAGGAACCATCCGAGGGAGCTCACAGAGCACTGAGTATGCGGAGGTCAACCTGAATACTCAGAAAGACATGGAAGGTACAGATATTAAGTCTGAGGTCCAGGAAGAGCAGGAGCAGCATGTCAATGTCTTGGGGGTCAAGCCTGGACCCAGTGATAAGAGGAAGGAAACCCAGAAACCTGGTAGTGGAGATGTGTCTGGATGTGGCTTCAGAGCCCAGGAATCTACAGGGACTCAGAAGAGAAAAACTGAAATTTTGGTTAGGCCACTTAAAATTAATAAATTGTTTTACATGACTCAAACTTCTAAAATATTGGTGAGTCGGGGATTTTATATTTTATATTTTTAGCGAAAAGACGAACGGCAACAGAGATATACTAAAACTAGAAAATTAAACTTTAATTTGTCAGTATCTCAACATTTTAAACTCTCAACAGTTCAAACAATTACAAGAA